TATGTCTTCTGTGAAATGTAAAACCAATCATGTAACCTTGCTTGGAAAATAGTATATAAGAAGCGTTCAAAATGTGGGTCTTTGGGTACCTGTCTTGGCACACGAGTCCACAGGAATCCCGGGCCCTGGAATAAAGCACCGCATAAACTAACACTCTGTTGGTTTGTGTCCTCATTACGGGCAGCAGTTTTCTGGCGACCACGAAGGGACCTCCAGGGGTCGCTGGGGCGGACCACAAGCGGATCTACTCCACGCCGGCAAACCAGACGATTTTCTGGGGAGAACATCTTCCTGTGACCAACCCCGCGCCCCGTCGGACGACCACGAGGTAAGCCCGGAGGTGCTTTATCCTAATAGCAGTGGTAAAAGCCTACCTGTTAGACGGGACTGTGTATACCCGCTGGGCTGGGTGAAAAGAGGAATTGGGGAAGCCTAGGCGCTAGCTGTAAGTCGCAAGCGGAAGCTGCGTGGAGCTAGCATTTGCCGAGAGGGGTAAAATCGGCAAATTGGTTGTGGTAGCCGTTTCGTTAGACTCGGCAAAAGTGGCGCCGAATGAAATTCGGCAAAATTGGTTGTGGTAGCCGTTTCGTTAGACTCGGCAAAAGTGGCGCCGAATGAAATTCGACAAAAATTGGTTGTGGTAGCCGTATCGTTAGACTCGGCAAAAGCGGCGCCGAATGAAATTCGGCAAAAATTGGTTGTGGTTGCTGTATCGTTGCGAAAGCGGCGCCGAATGAAATTTGGCAGGAATCGGCTGTGATAGTTGTGTCGTTGGACGCGGCGGAGGACGGCGCTGAGCCGACATCTTGCCGTGGGGGGACGGGACTCGGCGGGAGTGGTTGTGGTAGCTGTGTCGTTGAACGCGGCAGAGCGCGGCGCTGAGCCGGGATCTTGCCGTGAGCGGTGGAGTTCGGCGGCGTTGGTTGTGGTCGCGTGCGGCGCCGGCCGTGAGCGCAGCAGAAACTGCACAGAGCCGACAGTCACTGTAAACAGCAGAGCTCGGCAAGTTAACCGTAAAACGCCGCAAAAGGCTGCAGCAAAGACGGTGGTTTCCGGCCGGCGAGTCGTAAAAATCCGGTCTCGCAGCGGCTTGTGGTATCCGTAGTTCACGTACGTGTTTCGCGTTGTTGTAAATATGATGTCTTTCAAAACCTCTAAAGCGTTACCGTGTTCCGAAATCCCGGACGATTCCCCGCTCGGTTGCATATTAAAGCATTGGAAGGACGAAAATTTTGGGCAGGAACTGAGTAAGAAACAGTTAATCAATTACTGTAATAATGTGTGGCCCCAGTATGATACTGTGGGGGTGCGATGGCCAAAAAACGGCGCGATAACATTAAAAATAATGGCTCCTTTAATGCAATATCTGAGA